ATGAGCTACCCGGAAATAGGTTTTCCGAGGGACGACTATAGCAATGATTGGGGATAGAGGAAAACATAAACATAATAAACGTTTTACTTCCGATTTTACCATCATATCAACGCTTTTTGCGTAAAAATTCGTAAAAATGATTGTAGCTATCACAGTTTTTTGAATTAATCATCTGCTGTGAAAACACAGTATCATTCACTGTCACAGCGGCATGAAACATATAAAATCGTACGCACCATTATATGCTAATGCTCGAACCACATTTGCACGTGGATTTTTACGATTTGGTCTGTGAGATGAAATAAAGAAAAGTCGTATGAGAGTTCGTTGAGTAGTCTTCGAATATTTTGGACTATGAGCATCGTATCTATTTGTTGAACCGCGTGAGAGCCATTCATTTTTTATGTCGCTCAATCCTTCTAGCAGCTTCGTTCTGCAATAATTTTTATCTCGAAAACCAATGCACATACCAGCCTTCTCCTTCATACTACATCTTTTTGCTGCTATGATTCTACTTGTTAATGGCTTGGTGGCGCTTTCCACCCGACTCCAACTTTCCAAAACAATCAGCGGAATGCAACTGATCGCCAGCTGAGAGCGCATGATTCACGAGCAAAAAAGAGGGATTGGTGACGAAGAAAGGATGTTTCCCAACAAATTTCTGGGGGGATTAAACAATGATTTTCATCCAATTCCCTCGTCAACCAGACCAACGAGATATTCTGTCGAGCTGCCACTTTTTCCAACTTCTTCAGCGGGACCCTCGCAACTCTCAAATAATGGCAAACTCCATTTTGATTTTCTGAGAGAAACAGAAACCACACTCGCTAAGACAGACAAATCCAAAATTGAACAGCTTCTTCTTCTGCTTGGATTTCGATTCGCTAGATCCTCCTTATAAGGTTGGAGCAACGAGATTTCCAGATGACTGATCATCCCCATCGCTTTTGAGCTAAACCAACACACGAGGGAACTGTAATAGATGAAACCGTTTGGAATTCTATCTTGAACCACTTGTTCTGTTTCGGTTTTTATCGTGAAGAAGTCGAATTATTACTGCGTGCAACGAAAAGCAACTCTATATCGCTTCAAACGATCAAACCACGTCTGCAACGACGACACAAAGCTTTCTGACTTATATGCCCCTATACTCCAACACCGAACCTGGTTTCACTGCCATCAGTAAAAATGTCGCTGAGCGTGCTTCATCGCTGCTCGCAAGCAGACCAGGCGTTGATCGAGAGAAATCAGAATTCTACTGGGAATATGTTCTAAATAATTTGATAAGCGCCGAATTCGGATGGAGCAAGTTGTTGGATATCCTTAACGTACACTTTATACCTCATTAAAAAGCTTGTAATTACGAAATGCTTTGCCTCGCTCAAGACGAAATTGGCTAAAAGAATCGGAAACGGTGCCGTCTGATGAAGTGGAAACAGTTTTGAAGCTCTCAACTGGGTTCTCTGATTAACGCCGTCGTTACAGTGAAACTGGAAATTGGTGGGAAGTTTTCGTCTTGCTCTTCTGATTCACATTTCGCAGCTGGGTGGACGAAAATCTTCAGGAAATTTGGTCAATAAGACAGGTTTGTAGTATTACGTAACACATTAATCTTATGTTAGTGTTACTGCATTAGAATTTTAACACAGATTTATTCCGATAAACCACCGACCCCATCGCCATAATCTGGAAATCGCGACTTTTAAAAATTGGTTTTCGTTTTAACAAAGAAAAGTTTGGGAGGTCCCACATCAAAGCTGTCTTTATCTAACCTAATGAAGATGAATTCTGGAGACCTCGACATACAAGGTCTCAGTTGCTAATATCCCTGTAAATAGAATACTGTCCCGGAAGCTGTCGCTTACAACCGTTCTTGCCGTCAGAGCCATTCCAATGCTACTAACAGTATCGCTGCGTTTGTTTTGGACGATATCATGTGCTGCACCAAGCCACTCCGTGTACGCACTACAGTATTTCGCTTTTAAGCAAATGTGGGGCCACCTAAAAGCTCTACTAGGAATAACTGCGTTAAACCTAATGTTTTCGACTTTCAATTGATCCGTGGCTATCGTCGTTTCATAAGGGTCATTACTGAAATAGTTCTGTGCTTTGGGATATAGTTTCCAGACAAAAGAGAATTATACGCTATCAAATTCCGTAAATTTTATTCGACGGGTCGTTCGATTTTTGACTCTATGACTATTGCCATAGTCGCGACACATTAACTTAGTATCCGATCTGGCCTTCGCATTTTACACACTGTATTCTGTATTGTATTGCACATAGTTGCACGACGCCCCCTACTAAATCTACTAATGACTTACAAAGTCCAGCAATCATGGTCCATGTTTCTGTTTAGAATTATATCAAATTGCTTTTAAATCCTCTAAGGCTCAACAAAATTTATAACAGGCCACCATATACCTTCACGCAGTTCATACCGTGCTTCACCATTTGAAACTTAGGGCCACATTTAGGTAAAAGATCCCAGCGATCACTGCTGGCTATACTGCCTCTTTGCATCCGGAAAAGGAATATCCAAAGGAAGATGATCTTTGTCGAATTTAAACATAAAACTGAAGCCAAGCAAATGAAAAAGTATAGCTGATGACTTCAATTCAACGCTTTTCGCGTAAGAAATTGTAAAAATGTTCCAATTGGTTTTGAATTAAGCACTATTTAAAACATATAAAATCGTACGTACTGTTCGAATACGTACTGTTCGAATACGTACTGTTCGAATACGTACTGTTCGAATCGTGGATTTTTACATTTTAGCCAGTAAAAAGTCACATGAAGTACATAAAGTAGACTGCAAAGATTTGTGGACTACAAACTCGTATCTATTTGTTGAACTAATTTTTTGATGTCACTCAATCCTTTATACTACAATAAGTTTATCTCGAAGACCAATGCACGTACCAGCTTCCTCCTTCATACTGAAACGTGGCTCGTGCATGATGCCAAGGCATTGAGTATAATTAACCAAGGCGTCGAGATTCATCACCAGACCAAGATTCGGTCTGCGTCTCGTGTTTGAGGCATGGGGAACGCTTCGCGAATTCTACAATCGCTCCACTCTGCACAACCGTGTCACGATGACATATCGCCTTCATGAGTTTACGATGGAGATAAGCACTCGCGTGGTGGAACATCTGGACGCTTCTGAAGAGCTGGTCATGGGGCTCCCTACGACGGGAGATCTGGTGGATGAATCAAGGCAGCTAGTGATACTTCGGAGCAGCTTGCCGGCGTAATATGAGCTATTGTGGAGAACGCCAAGGACACCACTCTGATCGAATTTAAGGAGAAGCTCCTGATGGAGTCAGACAGACTACAAATGAAGGAAGCAAGTGAGAAAGCGATGTGCGCCACAGGCAATGAAGGACACGGATTAGGGGCGGACAAGGAAGTGGTCGCAAGAACTACGCACCACGCAAGTACTTTAAGTGTGACCAGACCGGTCATATGAGACGTGATTATCCAGCTAATAACCGTTCTAAAACCCGTTTTAGCGGTAATGATGCAGTATTTGCTGTGGGGGAAGCAATCAGTACGCTGGCTGATCGACAATGGTGTGACGTCACACATGACCCCTCACCGAAGAGATTTGATCGACTTCAAGCGACTGAATGCCGACGTCAAGGTAACGATTGCAGACAGCAGAAGTTTATCAGTCAAAGGAGGAAAACAGTGAAGCGTACTGACTCAGACAAAAGACACATATTGATGATGGAAGTGCTGCTTATCCCTGGACTTCACAGACTTGTACTGTCGATGGGAAAGCTTGTCGAACG